TCAACTATTGTTGAGAGGCTTGTAATAATCTGCTCTGTTAACTTAGAGATTTATTTGTACTCTTCATTGATATTGGATATAATAAGAGATACTAGGTACCACTTCTAAATTTTCTTATGATTTATCAGGATTACTTACACACACAATTTCACTAGCAAGCACCTTTTTCTGAGAATAAGAATGGCTCTTACCATGATCTTACCATTACCAATCCAATCAGAGATGATTTTTAGCTGATTCTAAAAGTTCTGTATGTATGGAAGATACAACAAAAATGGCCATTAATCTAGAAATTGGCTGGGGTAACTCTTATTGTCTTGCCCCAAGACACAATTATGAAGAATGTGGGATATACTTAGCATGCAAGTTTACTAAACCTATGTTACATTGTAAATTTTGTGTACATTTTATTGCGTAGTTTTAGTGATAAAGATTGATTATTTTATCAAAGTTTTGGTTGTTGTGATTTGAGTTCAGATTTTTATACTCTTATATCTTTATAGTGTCGTAGATTCCAGAAAATTCATCTGATTTGGTAGACAGTTAAAGAACCGTGGACTGCCAAATTCATATACTCTGCAGGAGTACGTATTTTTGAATGGCAAATCTCTTAGATTTTTCCATTGTTAAAGCTTGTTGTGAGCGCAGAAGTTGAAACAACAATTGGAGTTAAGAATGAATAAAATTTATAAATATTTCTATTCAGCTTCTTGTACTTCAGTGATATCATTAATGATTTATTGGTTGCTTCTCAGGTCAATCATAAAAACTAATACTTGATATAAATAGTTTGTTGCTGCACCAGTGAGCAATGCAATGAAGAATGTGTTGCAGAAGGGCAAAGCAACATCCCTCCCTTAAAATGTTTTCCATGTATTGTAGAACTGTGCATCTAAGTACTAGTTTAATCTTTTAATGACCTGTTTCACAGACTTTCTCCATAAACCAATGGGAAAACAAGCAACAAAGAAGTTCCTTACATCTGTCCATCTTTTTTACAGTTAGATTTAAACGTAGTGTCCCTTCAAGGTCACGAGTTGGAAGTAGGGCCCCCTTACTTCCAACTCGTGACCTTCAAGGGACACTACGTTTAAATCTGCTCTATGGATTGCCAGCTATTATGGATTGCCCTTAATGATTATTGAACTTGTTTACACATTCTTGGGTCTTATTCCGTTACCACCCTCCTAATGGTAAGAAAGATGAGGCTGGGTAAGACTATAAGCATCTTTAAAGTAAAGATGTACGAAGGCTCTCAGCTGTCTGTGGGCACCATTTTGAGGGCAATTGGGCCAATTGATGAATCCATCATATCATGGTCTTCATCAGGGCTGTTATGAAGACCACCATGAAATGATGGTCAAAGTGTCTGCACAACTGCCCTCGATGTGACGTCACCTGAACAACCTAGAGCCTTCACATGACTGTGGCCACAGATGCCTACGGTTTCATTTAAGGAAAAATGTTTTGGACAATGATTCTCATGTAATTTAAATTTGTTTCGCTGAATTTCATCTTCCTAACTCCAGCCATTTAAACTATCAGTACATAACAAAATGTTTTTTACAATTTAGTTTTTCAATGCCTTTCTGCTTGGCATGTTTCTAAATAAGCATTATTTGTTGTTAATGATATTCTATTTATTATCCAATTTTTAGTAAAAATTGATTGCAAATTTGATTTAAAAATTCATTTGTGTATAGAAGTATTCTCACAAAATGTTCAAAGAAATTTCTACTCTATGATGTATCTGTAAGAAAATCCATAAGTAGAAATTTGAGGTGACTTAGTCGAATAATTAGCTGTCACTTCCTCTAATCATCTCTTTTTATACTATTAAAATGCAGTGTTTATCTTGTTGAAGTATTGTAATTTTTTATTCTCATTACGGATGTGAAGTAAAGATCAAAATTGAAAATAGATTCAAAGAGAACATATCTAGAGGAGCTGGGGAAGATTTCAAATTAAAAAGTAGTTGAAAAATCGTATTTTATGTCAGAATAATAGTTTAAAATGTTCACTTCATTTCAATTGGAAACACTTTTTATAATCTTTCTTGGTTATGTAGATGCTTTAAGGCAGAGAAATTTGAAAAATGCAAAGAAAAAAGATTCAGGTGACCAGGAGGCATAGGATCCAATATTTTCCAAACCTTAATTGACTTCAATCCAAATATATTTAAATTTACTCTTGATTTCAAACCAGAAGAAAATGGGAGTCAAAAGGTTTAGTCATGATGGAGAGAAATACATGATAAGTTTCAAGGAATTAAATTTTTTCAAAAGCAGCCAAGTGCTTTTCAAATGTAGCTTTATTTCCTTGATCCCTGATTGCCACTAGGCAAAATATGAAACAGCCTTTTTACACAACGAGGAAATTGAAGACATTTATTGGCCAACATTGGCCCTGAACATTCATTTGATAGAAATATTTTGGTTGCTCATAAGATTTTTGATTGCTTAATGTTAAAAGAAACCGTAAGTTCCATGTTCTCTTAATACACAATTTTTGGACAGTCTGACATGTACTATTTCACACCTTGATAGTATCATAAATACCAGTTAAAGGGAACATGTCAACAATTTAGTGAAATGGGCTACCCTAAAACTTTACCAGCCTTTGCCATTAGATAGAATCTGACAAGTAGATATGTTCAAAAGAATGTATAACTCAAACATTGTATGGATCTTAGAGTATGAGATGAGTATCTGGCATCAGCTCGAAACAGTTAACATGAAACAAAAAGTCTAATGGAATAAGAAATTCTTATTTATTTATGTTTTTTAAGGGAAATGTAATTTGAATATTCCTTTACGCTGTAGAACATGTTGTTAAGCAGGAAAGCTTTCAATTTACTTTTAAATGTATGAATTGTGTTTAATATCATTGTCTAGTTTGTTGTTAAGTGTAATGCCCTCTATTAGCGTACTTTTTTGATAAAGTGTAGTTTCAGAGTGGAGAACATGTAGGTTATCTTTTTGACGGGTGTTGTAGTTGTGTACATCAGAATTTAAAGTAAAAGTGTCTTTCTTTTCCTTGAGAATTTTCTTTGTGAAGACCACTATTTCAAATATATGCATGCATGGTAGAGGAAGAATCCTTAGTTTATTAATCAAGGGTTTGCAAGACCCCAGCTTATGAGTGCTGGTCATTGTTCGCAATATTCTTTTTTGGATAATAAATGTGCTAGTGCTTTCAGGGGCATTTCCCCAGAATATTATTCCATATTTTAGGGTGAGTGCACATTTGCAAAATACTTTGTTCAAAGTGTTCCAATGTTGGAGCTTGACCTCAGGGTGTATAGGGCACTAGCAAGATTGCTGAGCTTCTTGTAAGATTTGAGATGTGAGCATTCCATTTTAGGTTTCTTGAATTATTAGTCCGAGAAGGTAGTTTCATGAGATATTATTACGGATTATTGTTTATGAGCAAATGCTGTTAGAGTTTTTTCTTAGATTGGGTTTCATGAAATTTAGAGAGGACTGTCTTGCTGGTGTTATGATGAGTTTGTTGTCTTGAAACCATTTAACTTGTGCTTGCAAATTTTATGAGTTTCTTTTTCTAATGATTGGTTGTTTTTGCTTTGATTATTTTGACATCTGCAAACAAAATTATTTGTTGTTTCTTATAGCCAAAGGCATGTCATTTATGTATACAAGGAATAGTATTGGCCAAGGATGGATCCTTGCGGGACCACAATTTGTATTTGAGGCAGTAGTAGTACGAGGAGATTTGTTTCTTTAGTGTGCGGGAGGCAGCAATTTGGCTACGGTTGATAAATATGATTTGATCCATTGGCCTGCAATGCCTCGAATCCCTGGCATTTCTAGTTTTCTTAAAAGTATATGATGGTCAATGATTTCAAAGGCTTTTGACAAAACTAAGAAAAGGCCAATGGGAATTTCCTTCTTATTTAGTGCAACAAGCATGTCATTTAAAATGGAGAAGATGGCTGTGTCTGTGATTAACGTCATTAATATTTTTTGTAATCATTGGAATGCAATTTATATTGATCAGTTGCTTCTTCACAGTTGGTAAATATCCGGTACCACAGTCGACCCCCCAATCTTCATTGATCTCCAAGGGGTCAATATGAACCTCATTGGGAACTCCTGCTGTTGTGTACATACATATATTCTGTAGGCCCTTGGTACTAAAAAACTGTTTTTTGGCAAAACTTCTGACCATCCTGCCTGTCTGCGGTCTTCAATTTGTAAGAGATATTTTAATTTTTGGCAGTTTATACTTGAAGCCTCAAAGGAAAGCTGATGAATTGTTAAATTCTCTGATTTTCCAAAAAATGGAAAAATAAAAGCAAAAATTCTGTCTTCTTCCAACTACATTATTGAAGACTGAAAATGTTCTTCTGTTTCTCAAAATCCGATCTTCAAGTGAGGTTATGCACATTTTTTTCCAAAATATTAGTGGTATTCGTGAACTTAAGCTTTAAAGTAATCAATCCTTTAATGCATCTCTCGTGCCATTTTTACACGTTACTGTATTAGTGAGCACAAGTGCTTCAAATTATGTCGTACAAAGTGTTTCAAAAATTCTCTGGGAAAATGAGCTGAAAATGTTGCATTTCCAGAAACCCTCAAATATTGTCTTCAGAATAGCTCCAAAATTTGTAATGAAAATTTGTATGTATGACCATGTTTTATTCATCAGTAGTATTCTTTAAGTTATATTTCAATTATACTATTAAAGGGTCTGAAAAATTGAGAAAATGTTAAAAAAATGCCATAGGTATTATCTTAGCAAAAGTCCAACCTAGACTAAAGAATTATAATACTAACTTGTGCAATAAAGTCTGTACCATTCTGTACCACCCATCGGGTTTCAATTTGTTAATTTTTATTTTTTGAATGTGATGTTGGAATGAAGTTAGCTCATATTTGCCATTCTAATGTGAAAAGTTTCCCCATTTCTATTCTTCTAGATATGTAGGGTGTTATTGCTGTGATTAATGCATTTATGTTACGCTCTCTTTTCTCTTTCAGGTACTCAGGTTCTGGTGATGCCCAAGTATGCATTAGTTGTGTTCCATGAAATATCGATGTTCATTTTTAACAAGAAGTTCATTGGTCAGTGTTTGTATAGTTCATGTTCTTATTTTCTCTCAATACAGTATTTCATTAAGCTATTTTAAAGTAAGATCTGCACATTTTGTGATAAAGAGTGATTAGATGCAGTAATATATAATTTAATTGTGTAAATGTTGAATAAAGGTTTTTAATTTTCTCTTAGCTTTATTTATGCCTAATTGTTTTCTTTTCCCCTTTTGTTTCTTCCGTCTCTTCTGTAGTAAAGAATTTACCGGTTTAGTAATACAGTAAAACTTGCTCAATGCAGAACTTGTGTAATGCGGAAATCTGACTAATGTAAACATGAACCTAGTCTTGCATTGCATAATGCAGAATTTTGTCTAATGAAAAAATACTTGAATCTTGGGATTCTGTATTGAGCAAGATTAGTGCTAAATCATTGTTTTGTAATTAAATTAATTAATTAATTTTAGTACTAGAGCACTCCAACTGCTGGTTATACAGCGTATTTTCTAGAAATAACAAAGTCATTAGACTTTAGCTACATATGCCCCCTTCAACTTTGGTGCAGACCAAACAATGTATGCTACACAGACCTCTTCCTTAGGCTTATCCCCAGGTGTATAGCAGCCAAGCACGGTTCTGAAAGAAAATTTGAACTGACACTAGCCGTGAGTACATCCTGGCCTCGAGAGTGCCAGTGCTTTAGCATGTACTCACATTGACACCTAACATTCAGAAATTTGAAAACTTGCCAAAATGTTTTGTTTGTGTAGTGTCTACACACATTGAAGAAATCAAATTCACAAATGAGTGAAAAACAAGCAAATTTGAAGGGGACGTTTATGCGACATTAAATTGTGGTAATTGAAGAAATAAATTGATGATAATTATAATGATAATAATAATTAAAATAATAAGAATAGAAGAGTTTATTTTCCATCAAATTTGTTGTGGGTCCTGATAAGTCAAACTGACTTAGCATCAGGTGCCCATTATTACAGCATTGTACAGTATTTTCTTCTTTACATTCATAATGTTGACATACTATAATTTTATCTAATATAATTACATAAAAATCTATTCTTATGAAATATTTTACTGTTAATAATTCAATGTAAAGTTAAAAACATAAAAATCCTATTTGTAACAATTGCAATATTGGGTTTTACAGTGATATCATCTATAACACGAATAAAACAATGGTTAACATTTCAAATATTTTTATGAATATTTACAAAGTAACAAAATTGAGAAAAAAATACATTATAGTTTTACCTTTTTTATAAATTGTTTTATAGTTTGCTTTTAAGTCCATATACTTACAGTTTATATAACAGTATATTTTTAATTAAAATATACAATCGCATAGGTAGCTTCGTTCTTATTTCTAATATAGTCACTTTGGTGTAACGCATACCAGTACGTATGCCAAAAATAACAAAATAATTATCTAACTATCCTAAATACAGTGTTAACACATAAATATTGGTTTTCTGCAATCCTTATATTATCTTATCAAAGTATTTATTTATTGGCCTATTTAATTGTTTTGTAACATTTTCAGTTATTTTTTGAAATTATTGAAGTTTGGACACAGTTCTAGATCTAGTGGCAGTTCATTGTTTAATTTTGGTAAATGTATGGTATAAGTTTGGTATAGTAATAATGATGATCATAATAATAATAATAATAATAATAATAATAATAATAATAATAATAATAATAATAATAATTGTTCTTGTCATCAATAATTCATGATCAAATGAGTAGCAATTGGTTGGCATGTTATAGATCAAGTTCAGTTGAAAGTGAATGTAAATGTTATAATTCTTAAAAATTAGTAAAACCACATTAGAAAGGAAAAGGTAGTTTAGAATTGCAAAAATCATAGAAAGAGGATAACCTACCATAATATTGAATCCATATTCTATTCTCTATTGTATATACATTCACATATTGAAATTATTGAGAACAAGAAGATTAGGAAGAAAGTATCTTTGATGACAACAACAAATTGAGACCTTGAAGTTCTCATTGGGTAGTATTGAGTAGTTTCTGAGGGAAGGCAATTTTCAGGAATGCAGATTTATATTCCAATCAAGACATAAACCAAAATACTTTCCAAACTTACTTGCAATGAAGTGGTTCAATATAAAATGATATTGAAAATAGGTGTAAATGACAGATGAAAAGTGGTGAACTTTAATAGAAATAAGAATAAAGTATGTTGCATATTGAAATGATGTGTAAACCACATTGAATGGTGGTGACTGATTGGAAAATCCAGAAATTTTCAGGGAATTTGCAATCCACTGCGTAAATCAGTAATTTTTTATTGATGGAAAAATTTATTCTAAGTAATAAAAAATGTAATTTAGTAGTAAGTGGAAAAGGCCACAAGCTCAGAAAAGCTGTTCTGAGGAAATTGGTTTTTAAATGTTTGTTGAATAATTTCTGTGAAAAGTGGCCTACTAAAGAGGTATGTGGATGTCAAACTTAATCATATTATTTTGAAGCTATTTTAAACTGAAATGTACATTGATTTAGGACTCTATATTCCTTAATAATAAGCATAAAGGTTGCCTATAATGTTGAATATTACGTATACTTTACTTTAAAGTAAACTTACAGCTTGACATCTAGATTTGTAAATGAAAATATGGTCATATTGATGTTAAAAGCCAAGTAGTACAAATAATAAAGTAAAATAATAATAAAAAGTTTATAAATGAAAAAAGAAATGAAGATAGTTTTGTTAATTTTTTCGGGTTTAAATTTGCCATTCTGTGCTCTTAACGTTTTTTTTCAGAGGTAGGGGGCTGTAACGTGCTTAATCGCACGGTGCTCCTTACAGTGTCGAGAAGATCGAGACTTTTTCGTTACGAGAACCTGGTAGTATGAGTTTTTCTGCCGAAAATTCTCCGTTTCCGGGCGCACGATTTCATAACTCACGAAACTACTTACAAAAATTACCTTCGTAAGGGCGAGAAGGTAAAAATCATTAACACCTTTTACCTAAAAACTAGCACAATATGTTCAACTATTGAGCAACATTTTAAAAATCGTAATAAAACAATCAGATTAACGGGGAAATGAAACCAACTTATACGATGGTTGTCGGCAGACGCCAAAATACTCAGAGCTGGATCTTCCCACATTTGTTAGAAATTTAAATGTCATTACCACCGTGGTTATTGTATTGATGCTTTTCAATTTCCAGCTAATGTAAGCTGGATGTTAAAAATGTTTGTTCAGTGATAATCACTGGCGGATCCACGGGGGGGTACGTTGCCCCCTCCCAAAAAAGTCCAAGAGTTTTCGTTTTCCTTCCATTATTTGGCAAAATTGATTTAAATATTTATGTTCGAATTATGCAATTATTTAAATAATATTGTATAGTGTATATGCAGTAAAAATATACAATACAATAACTGGGGAAGGATTTTAATGAAATGTCTTTTTTTTTCTTTTCACTTTAGAAGAATGCCGTATTGTAAAATAAGCATTTTATACATCATTTTTTGCATTTTTCATCGATTCCGGCTAATAAGTCATTTTTTACAGTTATCCATCATTTTAATGTATTTTCACCGATTTAATCGATTCTAATATAATGTGAATGGTACTTGCTTCGAATAATATTTACGAGATGCAACAATGATCCACAAAATTCCTGAGTACGTATACCAGATAATCTAATCGATTTCTTCCCTCAGAAGCTCTAATGTCAGCCATTGTGAGTGTGGAATCCAAAGTTCCTGTGACACCTGTCAGCGCCAGTGGCGGGTAAGCCGATTTCAGAATTACTAGAGTCAGAGTTTTCCTGGTAAAGAGCAGTCCAAATCCAACGTTTGAAAGCTGAGATCAATTGAATGAACAGAAGCAGCCTCGATTACGTCAGTAACGTCTCCAACAGCTTCAGTTGTTAATAGGAAACCGTTTTGATCAATTTTTTCGTCATTTTTCTTTGTTTTTAGGGCATTATTTTTGGCGATTTTTTAGATCAAAATCCGCTCCCTAATGTTTATTATTTAACAAGAGTCTACGAGGACCCCCCCCCCAAAAAAAAAATTGGTCGGCCGGATCCGCCCTTGCTGATAATTGTTCGAGTTTTTGTATCAAAGTGCTCAAATGTATTTTATAAGGTAGTTTTGCTACCTTTGCCACGGCCTGTGTGTTTTACTTAGCAACAGTATGCAATTGTGAATATTCTTTTCTATTATGAATTAATACGCATGTTGTTTTCGTTTTGGTGGAACGGACTTCATTTGCATGTTCGAGTGATGTAAAGCAAGTTTCCAGTTTTCATAATGAAAATAGGTGGCAGTTAATTCGATATAGTTGTGTATTGTGCTGTGTAAAGAAAATCCAATTTTGATGGATAGTTTTGCTTCAAGAGGGTTCTTATTCAATTGTGCTCCATTCCTGGCCTCCCAAAACTTTTTTTTTCTTCAATTTTTCGAACAAAATTATTTTTGCAATGAGTTATGGAGGATGCAACCGATTTTTCGAGAATGTATTTCTTAATTTTGGATTTGAATTTTTTCTTATATTGTATTGCAACTTGACTGGAAAAAATGGAGTTACGAATTCGATGAGATTTTTACTTGGCCATTTCTAACCACGCTACACTATTACACACTACACGCTACACGCTACACAAACTACACTAACGTGTGTAACTATTAGGATCAGTTTTTCATCTGTAACCTTCGGTAAGACGAGGTGGCTACACGTTGAATTGTGAATTATGAGATGATACGATGTTGATGAGAGGTGAAGGGACAATTACAAATACGACCACACTTAAGCAGGACTCAACCCTGCAGCCTCCTCGGCACAGACGACGGCTGCCGCAACCGTCTGCGCCAGAAGGAAGAGATTAGGGTAGGCCAAATTATGAATTTAAAGATATATAATGATGTTTCAGTGTACATGAACTCTTTTGCTAGCAAAAATTCATCATTAAACAATTTT